GTCAGAATTTATATTAAAATCTCAATTATTTTCGATATACAAAAAAATATTTTTTGAAAAAAAAATGAAACAAATTTTTTTTTCCGAAAGCAATTATTTCGTAAAACAAGCAAAAAGTTTTCTGGGCGCTTCGTTCTCTCAAAAACTGCCATTTTTGCACATTTAGCTCTGTATCTCCGAAACGGCTAGACCTGCCTTTGCCGAAAACTTATCAGCACATCTCCTTATCAATTAGAATCAAATGTTTTTTTAACCATTCAAGTCGGATGCTTTTTTCTCTCTAAAACTCGATTTGTATTTTTTGCACTCTTTACTCCGTATCTTTGTAATGGCTGGACCTGCCTTTGCCAAAAACTAATCAGCACATCTCCCTATCAATAGGAATCGAATGTTTTTTGAACCATTCGAATTGGTTGATCCGTGCGCCCGAAAACGTGGACAAAAAAATGCGGACATATAAAACACACACACATCCATTTTTTCTGAAGTATGCCAAAATGTTCAGAAACCTTCAAAACGTGAAGAAATGTAAAAAAAATTAATTTCGATTTTTGTACGATTACAATAATAAAATATAAGAGTGGTTTTACTAAATTAAATTAGTTGCACCAATATAAGATAATCAATATATCAGTAGGAGTTCATGTTTGAGATATTTTTTAATTTTTGAATTTTATTTATTTTAACTGCCAAAAAATATTTTCTTAAATATTTAATTTTTGAATATCTACTGTGGAAGTACTTAAAAAAAATATCACACACAAGTTGGTAGAATTTTATTAAAAAAAGTAGCAAAAGTGTAAGCTTAATAGCATTAAAAATATGTATAATATTTGAAAGCAATAAAGTAATTAAAGTCATACTTCAAATATGACATGATCCGTTTGTCATTGTATTGAGCATATAGAAATGAACCTTCATTAGAAAAATGAAGTAATTGCTGTTTAATAAATTCTATAATATTCGTTCACACAGTGGATTATGTTAAACAACGCCTAAACAAATATTGTTTTCACAACTTCACTCATCATGTAATAATTGTGTTTGAGGAACTTCATGTAATTAAAATTAACATACATTCATTGACTGATGGTATTTTTTTACTTTTTCGCTGGTGATCTCATTCTTTAACAGCTGTAATATCTGTCTTGTCTAAAAAATATTTTCCATTTTAATGACTTCAAAGATTTATGGAAACTACGAATAATATAGAAATAATTTCTAATCAATAAACTTACGTTTAGTACACGGCACAAATGTTTAATTTGTTTTATTATTTTCAATGAAGAGGGTAAAATATTCTTCTGATTCAGGCACTTTTCATTGAATCAAGATTTGTACTACGATGTAACTTTAAAATGTTTACTTATCTATCTATGTCGATTTCCTTGTTGATATCGGTACGCATACAACGACAGATCTCTATTCACGCGACACGACGACTAATCACAATCGACCCGTATAGAAATGATTTCATCGAGAGCGAATGACGAATCATTGGCACTCGACTCTTATCCTATCTTATCTGCCGTAACGCACTTCCGTTGCATTTGTACGGATTTACACCCTAGTTGCGCCTAAAGAAATATTAATTTCAAAAACTAGGATATTTTATATTACAGAATAAATACATATTTCTATTACGAATTCAATATCTTTTGCAATTCTAATATTTATATATTTCCTTCAAAATATATTTTGATGCATTTCAATGCAATATGGTTTATGCAAATTGCATTTACAGTTGTTATTGCTTCTGGGACTCCTCCAAGGATATAATACAAATCTAGGAATACAATTTCAGTGCATTTTTCTATTAGATCTAATACTGTATCTTCGAAACTGATTTTCTAAAATATATTTTATCCATCAGTTTACATTTTCTCCAATGTCAATTTAATAATTTTGTGCCAACTTGCATTTTTGTCTGAAACAAGAAAGATTTTATTTCCCAATTTGTCTGACTGAAAATTTAATTTAATATTTCGACAAACCCCGGAAAAACTTCTAGAAGTTGCAAAAGTGTTGGTGACATCTTTGTGAAATTAATTTAAATTTATTATATACTAGCTGACCCGGCAAACGTTGTTTTGCTAAATAAGGTATATTCTAAACCTTTTCTAGAGAATCAAAAATGTTAATACTTTAAGTGCATAAGGATGTGTTGTTTGAATGCTGTATACAATTAGGTATTATAAAAATAATAAACCCCATTAGTTTATCTATATTTTGTCAATACAATCAAACTGAAAGTTCTATACACTTTCTATAGAAAACATCGTATAATCCATTCCAAGTTTTTTTTGGTCTTTCTGGTTATTAATTACGTTTCAAGTTTTTCAGATCCTTTTTGGATTCTGGATTTTGTGTAAAATTGTAAATAATACTACTGAGCTTATACAAAATTTTCAAATTTTTGCGAGGAGAGATAAAAAATGAATTAAGTATTTTTTCTTTGACCTGCTTTTCAAGTTACATTCGATGAATTAAAGTAAATTTAATAAAAAGTGTATATGTAGAGCAGGGCGATACACAAAGATCCAATTTAACTTTGAGCAAATATAAACTATATTGTAAAAATCATAACAATTATATCACAACAAATAAGACATATCAAACGAATAATTATCTTACTACGTTCAGTAAACTGACATCTACTTATATCATTGTAGAAATGTGCTTTTTTGATGTCTTCCAAAAATTTGTTATCTAGACCTTTTTATCCTATATGCGGGGTAACTTGTAACGGGCTAATAATTTTAAAGGTATTTTACAAAATAATTACATTTTTAACTAATGCTAAAACTACCAACGGAAGAAAATACTTTTATTATGGATTTTCAAATATTACCGTTTATTTCCCCCATTTCAAAGATTATCGTTGTCAAATTAAGTTTGTAGCTGGCTATACATCTTTTTTCCTCTACTTTTAAATATTGTTGTTAAACAATGCTTAACTTTACTGGTTTTTGGCACATCGGTGGTGGAGCTTTTTAATCCCGGACCTTCATATATTACTATCTATTCTGCGATATATTCTGCGATAAATTCTGGGAAATTATAACTGGAAAAATGTTATTCGACAAAATGTCCATTTGATCGATACCAAATTTAGGTTCTGAATTTAAATAAGATAAATAAAAAATAATATAACCTAGAAAATGTTTTATAAATACCAATGAGTATATAATTATACAAATGAGATCTTTCAGAGCACCGTGTTTGAGAAAAATATGCTAAAAAGTGCATTTTCATATTAACATATCAAAAAAGTTTATATTTTGAGTCTCTAGTAACACATGCGGCCCGCTTACTAACGTTTTTGTATATAAATAAAACTACAAACAAAACTACTTACTACAAATTTATCATAAATAAATAATATTCGCGTAAAACATCCTATTAAAAGTAATTGAACATCATCTGTCAAAAGCGTTTGACATTTCACGAAATTGCCACCGTCCATTGTTTTATTTAAATTACGCTTCTACAAAAAATTTCAAATTAAAAATGTAAAGTTTCTACGCGGATTTGAAATAATTTCTCACCTTTTGGACCTTCTCTGGATTGGCACGAGTTTTTCAATACTAAGACTGGCCAAATCGATTCAGCCGTTTTCGAGTTTTATTCAGACATTTGAAAGAGAGCTCCATTTTTATATATAATATATGTATATATATATATATATATTGTTTAATATGAACAAATATATACTCGTATATACATAATCACAATAATTCTGTTTACTTAGAATCCATAATTCCAAGTTAATTTTTATAATCTGCACTCTGTTATAATTAATCATTTATTTATCCATTATTTTAATTAAATATTACTCTAAAAATCCATTATATATAGGATTATATATATATATATATATATATATATATGTATATGTATATGTATATGTATATGTATATGTATATGTATATGTATATGTATATGTATATGTATAATATAGATTTTCCTGTTCGGCGTTGAGACATCTCCAATATTGATTTTCAGCCAATCGTCAAAATAAAAAAAAAACAAATAAATAAAAATATTTATTTATAAATATACGTTTCGACACGGATTGTGTGTCATTATTCAGCAAATTTTGTTAAACAGTATCTAAAATAGCATTTACAGAAAAATTAAAATTAAAGTTTATATTTAAAATAATTAAAGAATAAAAAATATTATTAAAAGAGAATGAACCAACACATTTGCAATAAAAAAATAAAACTCAGTTCAAGACCATGCTCTCGGAACATGTCATTAATTTAAACCATACTTTCAATACTAAAATCTTGTTATTTTACATAAGGAAAAGAATTTTGACCTCAGAAAATTTGCTGAATCTGTATTCATCTTTTTCAAGCCTCTTTGCGTTAATAAACAAAACAATTTTATTATATTTAATAATATTATAACCTATAGAACATCATAATGTTGGACAATTTAATACAATTTCATTTTATACAAATTTGCTTCATATTTTATATACTTGAGACAAATTGTCTAAAAGTTACTGGAGCTACAATAAATAAATGCATTGTTGGTAAATATTGAATTAAAGTGAGATTTATTATGTAAGACCAAGACCGAGGAGACCGAGACCGAGACCAAGACCGAGTCCAAGACCGAGACCAAGACCGAGACCAAGTCCGAGACCAAGGAGACCGAGACCGAGACCAAGGAGACCGAGAACGAGACCGAGACCGAGACCAAGAACGAGACCAAGACCGAGACCAAGACCGAGACCAAGACCGAGACCGAGACCGAGACCAAGACCGAGACCAAGACCGAGAACAAGACCGAGACCAAGACCGAGACCGCGGAGACCTACCGTTTGATTGACTAGAGTCGATGAAGTCTGTTGGGTTGATGATAACAGTTGGTTCGTTAGTAGAGAATTGAACCTGCAATAAAAAAAACAAAAGGTTAGAAAACATCTTTTAAAATGTTTGAGAAAGGATACATACAGCCTGATAGATACTTGATATGAGCTTACTTACGTTTGATTGACTAGAGTCGATAAAGTCGGTTGGGCTGATGATAGCAGTGGGTTTAGTAGTGGAGAATTGAACCTGAAATAAAAAAAACATAAGGTTAGAATACACATATCGAAATATTTGAGAAAGGATACAAGACCAAGACCAAGACCAAGACCAAGACCAAGACCAAGACCAAGACCAGAGCAACAAGTTAAGACCAAGACCAACCCAAGACCAAGACCGAGACCGAGA